AAACCTACCATACCAATAAAAATGACCGGTTACACATTCTTTACTTTAAAATTATTAAAATTATGGAGACACGTTCGTAGAAAATAATTCAATTTTCTTACGCCAAGCGGACGTTTCAATAAAAATTGCGAAATGTTCAAATAAATTCAGTCTTGTCATTCTTGTACTGCATCACATATTAGTTACTTTTAGTGCTCAGTAGGTTTAGTGTTAAGTAAGTGAAATGAACGATACGAAAATGTTTTATTTCACTTGTAAAAAATACGGAAAATGTGTTCCGATATGAAGCAGATTTCAATGGGACACTCTGTATAACGATGATCTAGTTTAAAATGAATTCTAGCGACAAAAATTGCAACGAAATTTCGCAAGCATGATAAAAATAGTGTGTTGTTGCAATACATGGAAAATGGTGATCATAGGATCGCGTGTGAACACCTGTAACTGGCGACAGAGTCAGAGCGCGAGATAACACAACGTAATCCATCGTATTTCATCCCGTATACGAGCTGCACGCACCATTTCGAGTTCATGTAAATCAGGAACGGGGAAATCGACGCATTCCTCTTGACGATTCGACACGAAGTCTGCGAACCGTTTTAGATTAAACTCTAGCCGAAAAAAAGTCAGTCTACATTATCACGTTCCACAGACAAGGACAAGATTCATTCGATCTTGGATAGATTCGAAGTGCATTTACATATGTGCATGAAAGTCCATAAAAATTATGTTATATCCCATAAAATTCGAACTTAGTGCTTCCTCTTCATTTCGCTACTGAAAACATGAAGCACGTTATTCTGGATTGAAGAATTTAGTAACATCTTGGCATAACTTCTGCGCTGTGAAACATATTCAAATGTATTTGCGTTTTCTTGCAACAATTAGCTCTGCACAGAGGTACAGTGAGGAAATAATTATTTGAAAATTATATTACAGTATAAAATACTGAAATAAATCTCTCTTTTTAAATTTTTTAAATGATTCACAAACTTTGACACAAATATTTGATCATGACTTTTTAGTACGTTTGAAACAATACTACACTAAAATTATACAAAAGTATTGTTTCTTCATTGCAACAACCCTCCCTGCTAAAAAATATGGAAATCACCCGGAATTGGAAATTTAAATATTGACGTATGATCCGAGGAGAGAATACTTTTGAAATCTGTGAGAGTCTTCAGACAATCGCCAAGGAATTAGGAAAATGTGTATCAAGAACATATTCGAGGAGGATCGATCTTATTTGCGTACGACGTTAAGCAAACGCCGATGGCATTTCTCAGTCGATCTCTCGTTGAACAAATAGGCTTGACTCGTGGTAGTACATCGTAAAAGCTTGCACGGGGAATATAAGTGCGCAAATTCTTGCCCGTCGATAAGCGAGGGTAACGAAACGGATACGCTGAACGTACCACGCACGCTGCGCTGCCAAACGTTTCTAAATGGATTTATGTGGGCTACGTTCAGAACATAATTCACTCGGGCCGTGTCTGTTCTTGTATACACTAACAGGATCGCGAGTCATACATCTCTGTTCTCTTACGCAGAGTACTCTGAAAGGGTTGAAACTTCGGTGAATATTTAACCCTTTGCCATACGATTTTCTTTACAGCTTCGATGATTTAAAGTTTTTCGATTGTAATAATTTCTTTGAAAGAAAAAGAAAATTTATATTTATTGTGTACCAACATTTACTTTTACGTTTAAATATTTATGACAAGAAAACAGGATTTTATTTCAACTAAAAAAACGGGATAGCATTCATAATTTACAGGCTATTGCTAGCCTGCGCGACAAGTGAATACGAACCAAATTTTAATCTTGTGATGAAAATTAAATTTAATTATTTACGTACACAGACTCTGTCCCACCTAAATATTTAAATATCTATCTGAAGGAATAAACACATAATATGACGACAGAACTACGTTTCTAGAAACATTAACAGTACAATTTCGTGCTGTGAAAGCGTGTAAATAAAAGCTGAAAAAGACAAATTAACACAAAGCTCTGAATTATGGAGCGCAAAGCCAAGTTAAGTACTTCCTATAAAATAACTCCTGAGTTGGAGATATAAAACCAAGTCGAGGAGATAATTTGTCAGAAGCTGGTTAGCTAATTTCATTCCAACAGTAACAAGCCTAGCTAATCTATTCCGCGTGCGTGAATTTTTACTCTACATTTTGTCCAGTATGTTCGCGTTTCCATTGTACCCAAAGTTTAATGTCCTAGAGGGTGAAAGAATTTTAGCAGGAAAATTTTATAGCGAGGAAAACACATAAGCGAGTACACTAGTTTCGGCGGAACGTTACGTGATCGTCCTAAGTAGGTGCCTGTTTGAGCTATTGACGCATGTCGTGTAAAATAAACATGAACTTGTGGCTGATTATTACGATCTTTGGACAATCTTTTATTGAGAGCCATATTGATAACGAAAAAGAATGATGACAAATATTTAAGAACAACAAATATTTAATAAACTAATTTTAACATCACTCGTTGAACGCAAATTGTAATATAACAAATCCTGAAAAGTGGCAAATTAGTGGATAAGACATTTTAATTAAAAACATTGCACTTGTCTTTTTAACATTTTGGTATGTACATATGTATGACATTGTAAGACGTAAGTCCAAATTTTTGAAAATATGACTTACACATGTTTCTAACTAACTCATTTTTCCATGTAGCAACCGAAATTAAGAAATCACTTTTAAGGAACCACCCTAAAATATTTCATTTGTTCGTCCATACGCGGACATATATCGTGAGCTTATGGTCCGAATAGACATCCAGCAAAACTCTGACACGACTAGAGGGAACAGGAGAGTGGACGTAGACGCTGCGACGATTAACGAACAAACCTTCTGGACAAATACACGAACCACAGCAGTACCGAAAATACGATGCTTGTTGTACTAGTCACTTCCGGTCGCTGGTGCCATTTGTCCCGGTGCATTCCGACGCGCGGCCATGACGTATCGTGGCGGACTTTCGAGCGCATTCGTGTGATGACAGTTCACCAGTTGCCAAGAAAAATCTGGTCCTCCACGTTGCGCAACACTCGCGGTCGGCGCAATTTAGACCGGCAACCACTGAATGCGCGGTGGGAACGATAAAGACACCTAAATGTATCGAACATTTCAATGTCCATTGTTCTCCATAAAAGTCAAGCCATGGAATTCCGAGAATATTGGTAAAGATAATAGTGCGCCGAATTCGATCATTATTCTTATTGTGTAAGGTATCCGCGAACAACCAATATGACAGAAATACTCGGAGACAAATGTACTCCTATTAAGTATGATTTACTTTCTCAAAAAATTAATTTCGTTTATTCTCTCAAATAATGTATGCGCTGTAACTTAAATAAATCATACACGATTGTCATTTTGGCGAAACTTCATTAATACCAATCTTTTTTTCTACTATTTATGTAAATTTTCAATTTTACTCCTGTAAAAATATGCTGGCTGCAATGGAAATTTTGATTTCAGATATATGTTATAGAATATTGCAGCATATTATATATTATACACAGTTGAACTTATTTTTCGATTACCTAGGATACAACAAAAAACTGTGATGTAATTTTAAAGAACAACCATGATCTGAAAAGCTCTGACAAAATTATGGTTTGTGTAACATTAAAATTGTTTAGAATAATAAAATACATACATAATAAAAATGCGTAACGAATTTATTGATCGGAATAAAAAGACTGAAAGTACATTGACCAAGAATATATTCAAATTATGAAAATGCTCGTACGGGAAATACAATAAATAAATATATCATCGAGCAGTGTTGTCAATTAATGGAAAATTAATTAGTTCGCGGATCGATTTGTTTTTACAGAAATGGTAAACAGTGAATGGTGATTGGTCATAAACGTGGACACAAAAGAGTAAATCCCATGCAATCTGACAGGTGATTTGACAGAAAGTGAACCTGATCTCTTGTTATCGACTAATTATGCAGTAGCCAACCGTTAGCGATTGTATCAGGATTCGATAATTAATTGCTTTTCTCGGTTGCTAATCGGGTAACACAATTGATTTAATTATCTATTGTTTGGAGAATCTTGAGTGACGTGATGGTTGAGTCCGATCAGTAAACCAATGGTAATGTGTATAGCCGGATTTTCACATAGACATTCATATAGAGGTCACTGTCAAAATGAAGAAGAGGGGAATTATCGAGCTGAACAGCTATGGAGTATGAGAAATCTGGAATATCTTTTATTCAAAATATTTAAAAAAAAATGATCACTCACATCCTCTAAATCAACATTAAAAAGTCGTTTTCAAGATTTTTGCTGCTGCATTAGTCACGTAGTGCATCAACAATATTTTATTCGTACATAAGTGTTAATGTTTGTGATAATTGGAGTCAATTAAATTCTACACAGTCACTGGTTGTAGTCAGTGCTCGAAATACTAATTTTTCAGATTCTCTATCATGAAACCAATCCTCTCGACTTTTTGAGTGCATTAACATTATTTGGAAAAAACATTGATCATATATACGTGTGTATGTATACATAAGTCCTTTAGTCTCTAGACTTATCTTTTTTACAAATAATGTGGGCATATATATATATTTGCCCACGTATTATTATATTATTTATTTTATTATATTATTTCTGAAAAGCTTCCATCGAACTTTCTAGCAAACGTGCTACGACTACGAGTCAATAATCCATTGCAACTAAAATGCTTTCGAGTAGAAAGAGTTAATAATCTGCCGCAATCCTCATCCCCTCGAAAAAAGTAAAATAAGGTACAAGACACCCTAAGGTGTTTCCAAATCTTTCTAACGATCTAGTTTTCAATTAGTCGTGGATCTAATAATTCCAAAAGACGCTTAGGCTACAATTTCGAAAGTTTATTAATAATAACCTTTCGATCTCACCGAAGGTACACTAATCGTCCGAAAAGGTTTCTGAATCAGATTGACTTCGAATATAGGATTACGAACACTTCTGTTCGCAGGCAGGCTTACACGGCCTAACCGGACATATCGAATTCAACGAAGGGAAACGAAATAACTTTAAACTAGACCTACTGAAGCTGAAGAAGGAAGAGCTTGTCAAGGTCGGCGAGTGGAAGCCTGGCTCCGGGGTTAACGTGACCGATGTTGGAGCTTTTTACGAGACCACAGCGACCAATATTACCCTGGTGGTTATGACAAGAGAGGTAATATTGAAGTAGAAAGTTTGTAAAAATTGTAATGACTAACCATGTATCGATTATTGAGATTTTTGTTAACGAACATAGAACGATCGTGATATGAATTCTTCAAGTGTTGCAAATAAGAGCAGTTCAGTAAGAACTAAATTTTCTACATTGAATTTAATATTAGAATATTAGCATTTAAAATAATATTTGAATATTAGCATGCATATTAATAAACTGATTTTGATTGTTACAAAATTATATCTTGGCCAGTATAGCTTTAACTAATGTAGAATAGTAAATAGAACACCGAGAATCTCCGACTCAAGATCAATGGTTCTCTTCAACAATAAATCTTTGTTATCGATTATAGATTGTACGGTATAAATCGTAAATCGAAAATATAAATATAAAAATTAAATATAGATGTAATAGTAATAACTATTACATTTTTTTTACATATTACATATTTTTATATTTATGTAATAGTAATAACTATTACATCTATATTTAATTTTTATATTTATATTTACGATTAGAGTAATCATCGATAAAGTAATCATCGAGTCGGGTCGAAAACACATTTTTTCGGGATCGGGACGGGTACCTGAAAATTTCGAGATTCTCTAATTAGAGGCCCCATTGAATCCTTCCATCAGTGTTGATTACGCATAGCTTCGGCCCTCGATAGGAGAGCACATCGCGGCGAAACGTCGTGCACGCGTTGCCGACGAATATTTTCTCGGCCTGCTCGAAATGTAAATCGTTTCGGCACTTCTATCGGGCCGTTTCTTCTTCAGAAATGTCTACAAAATCGGATCCTGGGTAGAATTTTTGTGCTGGACAAAGAACTTTTCGTAAAAATACAAAAACATTGCGGAGAAACTACGCACATCGGTACTTTTTTAAACTTTTACATTAATTTATAGTTATTTAAGATCAAAAACACAATTAATAAATTGTATACTGCTATATTCAGAAAACTCTTCTCTATCGTCTAAGACCAATTAGAACTTTCCAAAGTTTTTTACTTCTCATATAGTACCTCATTCTTGTTGAAAATTCGGGGTTTTTACAAAAACTCGTTCTGCTTTTTTAAACTGAGGGTGATGGATCAATTCGGTTTTCGGATTCTTATTTGGGAAGTGGAGCTCTACAAGAATTTCGTAATGGCTATAGGAAATCAGAAAAAAAGTTCGATTTTGTCGAACAGTGTAATTTATCGGGATTTCCGAAAATTTAGGGATTCCCGAAGGAATCGAGTTTCCCGTAAAGTTCGAGAATCCGGCAATATATTTGTCAAAATATTGTGCATACTTATTACTTTCTTTTGTGCACTATCCCTATTTCATATATTCCGAATTGTATAATTTTATAATGATAAATAAAATCAGAAAAAAGTAAAATAACATAATTTGTCAAAAACATATAGAATAAAAAATCCGAAATCACGAATGTATTCATGAAAACGTATATAAATCGCCGGAAATTTCGATTGTGTTATTATAAAATTATACAATGTGTGTGTGTGCGAAATATATGAAATGGGAAGAGTGCACAAATAAGTAATAAGCTTGCACAGAAGTTTGAGAAACGGTAGTCGGGTTCTCGAACTTTCCGGAATCTCGACTTCTTCAGGAAACCTAATTCCTCCGGGAATCTCGAAAAATCAGAAACTTTTGGGAATCTCGAAATTTTTGAGAACCCGACCCGACTCGACCGATCTCTTTCTGACTCGTCTCGACCATTGAGTCCTCGATATTTTCGCACACTCCTAGTAGTCATATTCAAAATGTTACTACCGTCACGCATTTACATTATTTTCTAAATAATAAAAGTACTTATCTTTAATTACATATCGCTGATCAATACATCTGTTAACTATTCTCTCCGTGTGATCGGAATTTAATATTTTGCAAGCAAGGATATTTTCCACGAGAAGTGTACTTGTGAGATAGGAGATTTGTTTCTTCGATAAAACGAAGACCACGTTCGTGTCACTTCTATCTTGCTCCCTTTCAAGTTTGTGTCCGAGTGATCCATCAAAAGGATTTTATCTGCCGCAGGAAAAACCGTACGTCATGGTAAAGGAAGACAAGAATCTGACAGGCAACGCAAGGTTCGAGGGGTTCTGCATCGATTTGCTCAAGTGGATCGCCAGCCAGGTCGGCTTCCAATACGCCATAAGATTGGTGCCCGATCACATGTACGGAGTCTACGATCCAGAGACGAAGGAGTGGAATGGCATCGTCCGGGAACTCATGGAAAAGGTAAGGATAGAACGTGTTACACTCCCGAATTTCCATACAACTTGAATATCACCGTTGATCAATAAGTTCCACCATATAGATACTTTACCATCGTCAACGAATTATTAGACATGAAAATAGGTTCTTTCTCACTAATATTGGACAATTGATACAGGTATTGTGATTTGTTAAATTAATCCTTTGCGCGATCGCTATCAGTAAATTATATGCTACTTGTATTCAATTTTCAAAGAATTTAGTCTAATTACCATTTGTTTAAGTCACTGTAACATTATTTGACAAATGCAAATTTTAATACTTCACACACCCGTGTCACACGTTCAACAGACCTACAGTCACACACCCGTTACGTCAATTATCAAGCATATTGCTTAACGATCGACAAAAACCAATTTTATGCACATTGTTACTACACAATGCAATGTTCAAGAAGTTCATAACTTCCTTTTACTAAATTATTTTAATAATTCATGAAGGAGGTACGCTGCACTTAATAAACATTGTAACAATAGTGATAGGCAACGACTGAAGTAGTGATAACAAATGTGTTAGTCACAGTTTTTCTTAAGATTGTTTTTAAACATTTGTGGCTATTCTCATAATACGATAGAAACTTGAAACCTTCGTTTAGTTAATTAAAACCGAAAAATTTCTAATTGCTTGTATAATTCGAAAACATTAATTCTCAACAATGATCGAGCTCATAACGAATACAAATATTTTAATATCAAGTGTATAAAAGATTCACAAAGTTTAAAATAGCACGCCATGTTTCTGATTACAAGAAGCTTTATAACACCATGATTACTACAGCGGACAACTGAATATAAAAATATCATTGTGCCGCTGAAGGTACAAAAACGGAAAATATGAAAAAAGGCCATGTACATAGTATTTTTGATTCAAATCTGAAAAAAATACAAAGCGTCGCGTTGGTACAGTTCGACATTTCGAACAATAGATTCGAGGAATCTAGGGAACAATATTGTAACAAAAAGAGATTGTGTTTGAACAAATCGATTTTGACCTGGCAAACTGAATTTATTGGCATACCAGCACAGTTTGAATGTATCAAATTTTCCTTAAAAAGGTAATAAAATGGAATGTGAAAGTTTTTTCCTCTTGTTCAGTTTTGAAAGCCGCCGACTCCTTTTGTTCCGACTCCAATGCTCTGTATATACATATATTTAAACGAGTTAACAATTTTCCGGGCGGTTCTATACAAAATAAGTTTTATAAAAATATTATGAAAGACACAAAGATGTTGAATGGAAATATTAATTCTCGTCGAGATGTTCATTGTATTGCGCTTTACACACTTCGTACTGCTTCCAGTGGACGATGAAAATGTTTCAGAATAAATTCTATACTGTCCAAGATTCTTTTAAATGAATTCTATTAACAACGTAAATAATATAATAATTGTAATACATTCAAAAGATGAGAAATGAAGAAATGAGATGAAAGGAGATAAGAGAGAATGTGAAGATATGAGAAATTCTCATAAAATGTTATTGTTGAACGTTATTCTTGTACACGATACTTGTGTAACAGAAGGGTAAAACGTACAATAAACTGATCTTCAATCGTTGTAATAACATTTTTCCAAACGTATTTTTAACGTACTATACAATGAATGAAAAACATTGTTGGATTGAATTCAGATAGTTGTTAAATCGCGCGGTTGGATATAGAAATTGAGTATTTTTATTGCAGAAAAACAAATGTAGAGAAATGCGGTTTATAAATGAGAGGAGTGTGAATAATTTTATATGCAAAACAGTCTCCCGACGTTGTCATAATAAATTCATCTCAGATAGTATTTCATTATGCATACTATAGCCCGCAGCGGACATCTAATTTGAAATTTTCTAGCGGCCAACAGCGTATTGGATATTCTGATTCATAGACTGTTACGCAGATGTTGCCTTCCCGCATCTGAATTGTAATGTCATGTAGTAAATTAGTGTTTCCTAGAACTACCATTTATATGTGTTTCCATCATCACAGTTGTGATAATATTTATGTTCATTCTCATTCGTTATGTTCGTGCTTGTAAATTAACTTGCTCTCTTTTCTCTACAAATAATCAAATGACCAGCTACTACTACGCAACTACAATTGTAGTATATTTATAATGGGTAAAAAAAGTGTTCGCATACTTTTTGAAACGTAATAACTTTTTTAAAACTGCACTAAATGACTTGAATTTTTTTAGATGATAAAGGGACTAGTATACTGGACAATGACTAAATAAAATGCTTTTCTTAAATTTTTCTATTACTTGGAATGACATAAAAAAAATTAAAAACTCTCGTTTTTTTAACCTTTTTATTTGAGTCTGTAGCGAAAATTTTAAAAATGCCTTTCGTAGATCTCTGTAACTTATATGTGTGCTGAAAATTTTATCGAAATCGGTTGAAGTTGTTATGAGCTGTAAGCAACTGAAGATTGCAAAATTCGCAGTTTTGCACGAATTTCAACAAAAAACAGATAATTTTTACATCTTTCAGTAGCTGTATCTTGATTATGCGTCAACCGATTTCAATGAAATTTTCGACATGCATGTAAGTTAACAAGATCTACAAAATGCATTTTTTAAATTTTCTAACTTAGCAGAATTTACGAAAACTCACTGAGTTTTTTGTCATTATTATATATCTCGATTTCTCTATATTGATCCTTACACTAACAACATTGACTTCTTCATTGATGATTTTAATAAATTTAAATAACAACTCTACAATGTCATCAGCAGCTAAGATATTTAGTTTTTGTGTTTGTCTGTATTATTATTGTTTGTTATTATTATTATTTTATTTTTATCAGTATTAATTATTATATTGAGTTTTCGTAAAAAAAATTAAAAAGGTACTTGGTACCTTGTTGCTAGATAAATAAATGATGGAAGAACCCTAGACGTATCATATGTATGAAATAAGAATCGTTTCCTTCAATTACTAAATTCCAGCTTTTTATTATACTATCAGTGTAATTTATGAAAGATCTTTCTGTAAAGATTACAACGTTAACAATTTCTCGTTTTGCTTTGCAGTAAATGTTAACAAGTATTTGGACACATTTCAACATTAATCCTGCAAGATCAAAGGCATATAAATGTAAGGATTTACTGAACAGTGCGCAACGGTTAATTGAAATTGTACTCCGGAGATTAGTGAGAATAATCACGCCCGAGGTGTTCATTACAGACTATTCGCGGTAAATTAGATGAAAAACGATCGCGTAAAAAATATAGATGAATACAAACGATGGAAAGATACGTAAAAACAAGAATAGTTGAAACGGAAAAATTGGGTGGACAAATTGATTTATGTGCTGTGTCAGTGAGTGACGAGGCAACGACACTGGCGATAACCAAAAACTGTTGCAAGAATATACATGGCAAAATTGATAAGGGAAGTAATTGTTCTTTCTTTTGTAGCACAGAAAATCTCGAGTAAAGTTAAAATTTACGAACATAGAAATAAATCAACGATATTCTAATTGATCGTCAATTGATGCAAATGTTCGCATACTTCAATAAGACGTATCTCAATCATTATTCTATTTAATTATTCCATTTAAAATTACTTTTCAATCTAAAACCCATATTTGCATGCGATCTAAGTCGCATAACTTGATTTTTATGAAGTAGCATTTTTCTTATGCATTTATGGCAAAAATGAGTAGATGAAAAACGACAAAGTAGAAACATTTAAAAACACTAAAGTTATTAAATACAAAAATAAATTTCTATCTGAAGAACTCCTTTGTCGTCCATAATTTCTTATAAGAAAAAGAAAACTATTCGTACTGTTATATTAACAACGTTGTATTCGTATTACTCATTTACTTAATAAAATCCCGTAATTATTTGTAGATCACATAAGAATAGAATTTCATTCCAGGTTAAAATACTGTAGAGCACAGATTGTATGTACTTCATAAATTGTGTTAAAAATCTTTATCACGAGTTCGACTTGTTATTTGAAGGGTAATGATATAGCCCTGCTTCTCGCAAGTAAGGAAGAAAATTTGCATTCTGCAGAAAAATGCAGAATTGCTTTAAAATCGCGACAACGTTAATACTGACAACCTCGGACACCGGGAAGCGAAAATCTGTGACAGAAGAGATTACCTTTTAGGCACGACGCGCCACTATATTGGCTTTCGCGGATGTCATCTCTCTGGACGACGCGCCACTATAGTGGCTTGCTCCAGTAGCTCACTCGCTCATCGTTTGAATCAAATAATCGTCTTCAGATGCATTGTTTCACACTTCCTTTGTCTTCACATCGATTTACAACAGTCTACAGGATGTTCTAAAAATGTCTCGCGATCTGGAAATGAGAAGTTTCTGGGATCATTTGAAGTAACTTTTTCCTTAGCGAAAATGCAACTCGTGGCTTTGTTTACGAATTATTAACGAAAAACACTGACCAATGAGAGGCGAGCTCGCCTAGCGCTAGGTGGCCGAGCTAATCGGCGGAACTGGGATTCGACCGCTCGACCGCTGGCGCCGTTGGCTCGGCCGCCTCGCGCCAGCTGAGTTGGGATTCGACCGCTCGACCGCTGGCGCCGTTGGCTCACGCGAGCTTAGCTGGCGCGAGGCGACCGAGCCAACGAGCAGTCGAAACCCAGTTTCGCTCATTGGCTCGGCCGCCTTGCGCCAGCATATCTCACCTCTCATTCGTCACTGTTTTTCGTTAATAACTCGTTAACGGTGCCTCGGAGAAAATTTTTATAAAGTGAAAAGTTGCTTCAAATGGCCTGAGTAACCCGCCACTTTCGGATTGCGAGACATTTTTGGGACACCCTGTATATACAGTATCAGACTCTGTACAGTACACATCAGACTCTGCCGTCCAGAGAAATAGCCTCGCGCAGAATTCAGCCGTACCTAAAAGGTTAAAACCAGATTTCTTTGGAAAAAAAAACTCTAAAGGAGCCCTTGAGGCGCGAAGGATGTTTATAGCCCTCAGCGAGGTTGTATCCCGCGCTGGTAACCGTAACGCCGACATAGATGCACGGTGAATTCCGAAAATCAGCGGTTTATAAAAGATGCAAAGCAATCTGTCCCCCGTGAAAGGGTGTCCCGCCTTAACCTAGAAACTAGTGAAACCGTAAGCGGATCGTCCCGAAGGAAAGACGTCATTCCTGGTGACCTACCGTTAGGCGTACGTCCGCATATAAAAAATGCATTCGCTATTTTGCAAGGCAAACATTCTTTGAACTGCCAAACTGAACACGTTGTGTCTCTGTGATTTTCATGAGCCAACACATATCGTTCCTCTTATTTTATATTGCGAGCACCTCGGCGAGATAAAACGTTTAGGTTCGTAAAACCGTGCCACTTCTAACAGTCGACAAAAGTTACAATAATGGGTTTATGTGAAAGAGGACAGAATTCTTGCCGAGCATTTTTTATGCGATAACGTTAGAAATGAATTTAATACGAATTAGTATTTTGCGCATTTACAAGGGAATCACGGTGACCGATACACGCCGATTTTGATAAAACTTCGTGCAAGTGTTGATTACATATAATTAGTCATATTTCAATCGTACGTGTTTTCTAATTTATCGAGTTAGCTAAATTATATTATTTATAATAATTTAATTTTTTAATCTAATTTTTAACATTTAAACAAAATATGAAGAAAATCATTCATGTACAGTATAATTACAGTAAATTATACATTTTTCAAAGAAATAGCAACAACTAACTGCTTAAGAGAGAAATTAACTGTTTTTTGAACAAAAGAGTGTTGAAATAAAAATTATATCTTTTCTTGAAGCTTATAAACCTGTGCGAAAAAATGAAAAAAGAAATCATTTCCACGAAAAGCGAAATTTGCATCTTCCTGTTATTGAACATTTTTGTTAATAAATAAAGACGTTTATTCTTAACAAATCCAACAGTATACTAAAGCATATTGTAATTGTTGTGTCTATTCTGTGCAGAATTGGAGAATCATCTGCAAGATTTTATGTTATACTACTAGCGCCATAACTATTATACTACTACTAGATTTTATCTTATACTACTAGCGCCAACTGAAAAAACTGTGTAGTAAATACATAAACCATAGCAGTAACACATTATATATAGCAAAACCAAAAGTTATTCGAACTAAAAATATTTTTTTAATGAATATGAACAAATCGAGACTAGTTGTTCGTTTCGAAACTGAAAATTCTTCGTCTTTTTTTTGCAGCGAGCGGATCTAGCCGTTGCGTCTATGACGATAAATTACGCTAGGGAGAGCGTAATAGATTTCACCAAGCCATTCATGAACCTCGGTATTGGAATTCTGTTTAAGGTGAGTCGCTGTTATTTCTTGCGCACATCATCATGGTTCCTTCAAACTTATATTTAATGTATCACTAATTATATTGAATTGACCCATAATTTCAAGCAATTTTTTATGCGAAATGATAATTATTTCAATTGGAAAAAACAAATATTAGCCAGAATTCGTTGGGAGATAAACCAAAAGAAAATTTACCATTTTCACATATAGGATTCGACCGTATAACATGTACAAGAGTGAATAGTTTGATTCCTTATGAAAAAAATTAAATAAAACAAATGCAATGACGATTTCCCGTTTGAGATTTCGTTTTCGAAAAGATCAAGCTTGATAGTTCATTTCGTTCTTTGATTTCTGTATACAAAGTATCCCAAAATTATGTTACTTCCGGGAAATGAGGGATTCCCGTGGTCATTTGAAATAACATAATTTTGAGACATCCTATATATTTCAAAATTATAGGATTCAAGAAACAACAAAACGATATTTTGTAAAAATATGAGTAAACTATGGTATTTTTGAAATTAATGTCTTCTATCTAATTCTGAACTTAGAATTATGGATCAACTCAATTGATTGAATTTGTATTTAAGCACAATTATTTGATCGGCGATCAAACATTCTCGTGCCAATTTGTGAGAAGTTGGTATAAAAAATCTCTATAAGTGCATTGATGTAAAACTTTGTTCTTGTATCGAGAACCTCGTTTCAAAGCAACTAGATCTTTACGCCGAAATTATTGAATTCTTCTTTCCTATTCAATGAACAGAATTTATCATTAGAGTAGCAATTTTGCTAATACATTACTAAGCTATACTATTTTTCTCACACTAAACTAGAAATGTTATCATTTGAAAGTATTATTTAATGAACACAAACTTTATTTTTTTTCCCACTCAACCCTCACACATTTCGCAGAACAAAAATTCATCTGTTTTCTTCTGTTAGATACTATAAAACGTTTAATTTCGTTTCATTTGCATCGTAAGATGTACTTCCTTAACAATTTGACTGCCAGGCCAATAATTTAAAAAATGTCATCAAATTAAAGTAGTTCAGTTAGTCAAATTAAAGTTAAGAAAGATGTAATAGGTTAGCAAAAAAATTACTTTTCAAATCAGGGCAAATAATTCCGTCAGCCATGTATGGGTAACACGGCAGTCAGCGTGTTAAGCATAATCTGTTGATCTAGAGAGTGAAACAAAAACGATGAAGTATTATATTCCAAGATGTTTTACGTATTTTTCTAAAATCGTCCAAGGGACAATTACACAAGCAGCTAAAGTTTCCTAACATTTAATCCGGCTCTGTACGTGCTTCTTTTCCAAGCAGCTGCGAGGTTCCTATAATATTCTATAATTTCCGGTCACAAGGTAACACGGTTCCCAGTCACTTTGAAAGGATTACCGCGCGTAATAGTAGTCTCATTCCTATGGACAATGGTACGACGCGATCGGGTGGAAGAGACGAGGTTCTCGATGAAACCGATTTACCAGCGTAAAACATCCTCGCGGTGGACCCGTCATACGGCGGGCGAGAGGTACGGGATCCGTTTTAATTAAAATCGTAGCGTAACGTAATTTAGGTGCCATCCAGCCAGCCAACGCGGCTGTTCTCCTTCATGAACCCGCTGGCCGTCGAGATCTGGCTGTACGTGCTGGCCGCGTACATGCTGGTAAGCTTCACCCTGTTCGTTATGGCCCGATTCAGCCCGTACGAGTGGAACAATCCGCACCCGTGTCTGGCGGAGAGCGACGTCGTCGAAAACCAGTTTAGCGTCAGCAACAGTTTCTGGTTTATCACTGGCACATTCCTCCGCCAGGGCAGCGGGCTCAATCCCAAGGTACATTCCACGAGGTGCCACGACACCGGACCTGTCTGTTGTTACGTTAAGGCAACTTTGAACTCGTCGGTTTACCTTTCAAACCACTGCTATAACCAAAAATTTATACATTTTCTAGTCGGGCAGTTTCTGCGTTCTACAACCACATCATGTCTCCCATACTGCCTCCCATCTCTCTTTACCTCCCTTTCCTCCTTTATCGAGTACAATTCTGAATACAAAGTAGTTTATTGGTGGCTCGAAGGCAGCCTCGAATGTGACCCATTTCGATTTCAATGGAATAGAATAACAAGCTGTATTTCTATAACGTAACTCGATGCCATGAGAAGATAATTTTTTGAGGTAGATACATTTTTTTAGAATGTACGTGAAATATCAAAGTTGTAGAAAAGTGATTATATAAAAAGTTGATAATAAATAGCTGAACGTGTTGAATATATTGTGAAAAATGCCAGTGACAATATATCTTTGCGCATGCGATGCATATAATTGTACTTTTTGTCTCAAACCTCATCAAACAACGTCGATTTGGCTCGGTATTTTTCGTTTAAAGACATATTTTAATTTACAAAGAAAAAATGTTGTTATGTGCTATTCAAAATGTCACAGAAACATCTGAACGTTCATTCTTTGCACACTATTACATCATATAGTTTATAGATAGTATATAGTTTAAAGATAAAGATTCACAGAGAAGGAATTTTAACATAAATATTTAGTGGAAACGTGATAAAAAGTTAATTTCAAGCTCTGGAATGTGGTACATATAATAAAAAATAATGATTCGATAAAATTTTAACGAAATCAAAGCTTCAGTGTTAACGATCCCCTCTCCTTTTCAAGTTAACAGAACGGGTAAACAGAACTCTTGAGAACGGGTGCTTCTTGACCTTGCAGGGTCTGATTTGACCTTACCTAAGCGCATTAAACAGACGTCAAGTGTTTAACACGGAATCTGTGTTCACGACGTTACCATTTGAATGGACAACTGTTCTGTGTCAAATTAACCATTCATCCCGTTGTAATCCTAGGTTTGCCCTAATTCAGTCATAGTCTCTTGCATGTAGACTATTACGCGCACTTTCATTTAAAGTACTTATTCAATTATTATTAGTATACGCATCACTATGATAAAATTTTACAATCCAAGTAAAGTAGTTCTAACTTATCGTATTTCTGTCGCACTTCTTGTAATCGGTTTTTTCATTTGATGCTGCGAGCATAGTTTTTTTTTAATATACACAGACTAAACATTTGGCTGAACATTGAAATCGAAGCGTGCCGCACCCGAAGCTTTCTCCGTAAGTAATAAATGGTTCTCTTATAAACAAATATGTAGATACAAGTTCAAAGCAAAAAATTTAAGAATTTAAGAATAATTTAGGAAATAATTGCACAGCTTCAAATGAAACAATTTGTATTAGGTCGTATATTTTCTAGCTGCTACAACCACAAACATGCGTGTAGTCGAACAATAACTAAATTTAACTGTCTTCGATAAAGAGTGCTACATCCGAAACTTGTATTTTAGACGTTCGGTCAATTTTCCTCTGCAGAAGCAATTCCTCAACTATCATTGAACCAACAGTGCTCTAGGAACAGATACAGAAATAATTAGATGATATTCTAAAATAACTTCATACAATTCATCATTACCTCGCAAAGAAGCGTAAGTAGGTCCTTCATTTTCCAACTCAGGAACAGCTCCACAACGATGAACCAAAAGCTACTTTCTACGACAGTGTCCAGAAATGTCCAATATCCACTCTTTTCAAGCAAATCCCTTTCCTAGAACAAAGCCAATTTTGTTCCACAAAAAGCTCGGCTACCCTCCTCGTTTCTCCGCGGTAGATAACTAACTAGGCGTTTCACGACTCGAAGATCGTAAAAAAAAGGGATGCTGGAAAATCAGAAGCTGTGACATTGCCGATTGTCGCCAGTGTCACTGCCGGTCCATTCGAAATTGTCCGGCCAAGTTCTAAATTCGTGTACGCCTGTATACTTCGAGCCGTTCCGATTCCAACTGGTCCTGGGCAAAAAAGGGGGAAACGAAAAGATAAAGGAGCTGGCATAATGGTTGATCTTGCGGCGTGTTTTAGCTTTCCTATTGTGTCGTCTCTGACGGGCCAAAGAATAGAAGCGGGACTATGATTCCAGCGAAATAGAGGATCGCCTTTCGCGGCGTATTCAGATCTGCCAGCAGAGCAACGCGAGACTACTGTCGGTTTCTGAATTATTTGACGCGAGAGAATACTGGTTGAACGACGCGGAAAAAGGCAGAGAAGGGGCTAGCTGGTCCGCAGGAGCGTCTAACGACGCGAGAATAGTCGGTTCGTCGACCAGGAATCCTCCAACGTCGAGGAGGAATCCTCGGTTCCGTTAGCCACGGGCAGAGGGTTTTCGATAGATCGAGCCGATAGATCTGTAATGCGGAAATACATGTAACTGCTTCAGGTTTCCGGGCGAATGCCGTCCAGGCTGTTCTCATTCATGAATCCCCTCGCTGTGGAGATCTGGTTATCTATGCTGGGCGCTTACGTGATGGTCTCCTTGACAATTTGGATAGTTGCGAGGTTCTCCCCTTACGAGTGGGTCGAACCCAGAGCTTGTCCCAGCTGCAAATGTCCCCTACAGGTAGGCTCCTGCCGTGTGGTGCTAGTTCGACCATGTAATTCGATCTGCGCGAAAACTGTGTCACTCGGGAGCCGTGGGGAATCTGATGAATTTCCACTGTCCATCGAATCGCCTGGAATATCCGCGACTTTTTCACAGTTTGTATGCATTCGTCTTACCAATTTTTCAGTAGAACTTCGTGACGTTTTCCAGACATCCTAGATTCTAACGACGCACAATAGCTGACCATATCCCCAAAGAGCTGGCCAAAATGCAAATTTCGATGTGTATAACAGCAAAAACCTGCTATAATATCAAATGTTGTTAAAAATGTTCAAATATCGTGCCTATAAAAGTGTGATAATTGAACCACAGGTCTCTATGTAAAAGTTTACTACGCCAATTGCAACAAATTGGAGTGAAACAGAGAATTTTCGTTCCTACTAGAAACGATATAATATTATTGTTGTCACGAATACACATAAAATCGTGTAATAATAAGTAAACTCGTTCTGTCGATTTGTTTTCCGCGATGTATTTTATCACGCCCGTTATTTTACGCAAATATTTGTCATTCTGTGCTTTGTTGACGTATCGATTAATTATTCAGGCAGTGTGAAAGCTGTCAAAATTCGACGTGTAATATACAAAATACCTGGCAGAAAATTGTCGATCGAAAATGCATGACGTACAAATGCATTCATTCTAAAAGTGAGTCACGTATTATCTTGTAAATATTTCCATCAATAGTATAATGTAAACATGGAATAGAATTGCTACTTCAACGGAGTACTGAATTGAAAAATTAAGAAAATAATGCGAAGCTGCTCACGAATTTACGTCAAATTTTTCCAACGTCTTTGCAATGAGTTTTACGTTAAGACTACCAAGCAAGGCAAGCATTATTTATTGTGACAAGAGCGCAGTATCATTAGCGTGTTAATGCCTTTAAAGAATTTCGAAGCTTCCTGAATAAAACCAAGGGATTTAAAACTTTGTCAGGTCATGCATATAAAGCGTTCAACAAAAGTTCGGCCACCTAAATCTCAAATGCTATTAAAACTGGCCGAATAGTGTACTGCATTTATAGAATGATTATAAACTTTACCACCAGGCTAAATAAAGGGCTAAATGTGAAATCATCTAACGTTACCGTGCAACATAGTCACGCGATACTCTGTGTACCGTCGTATATAAGATGACCCGTCAGCGGAATTCCTGTTTTCGTATGATGTCGCTGGTTCGAGGAATTTGGGACAATTATTCCCCACGGCTCCGCGATGGTGGCACAGAGTATAAGGAATCCGAGAATAGACTGTGTTATTGTCCTTGAAATTTCGCACCACTTGGCGGGGGTCACGATGCGATCAGGGTGGTCACGTGAGCGCCTTGGATCCCGACAGCGACGACATTCCCCTGCTGAGAACCGTGAACGAGTTCACTCTGGCCAACAGCTTCTGGTTTATGGTCGGGACTCTTATGCAACAGGGAAGCGACCTAAACCCCAAGGTAAACATGTCACCACAGAGTCGGCGTACGGGAAAAACTTACTTTGAACGTGTAACCGCGAGAAAGTATGCACGGAAAAGCTTGTTGGAATCCGATCAAACGTCGGCATTCGGCTCCGCATTCAAATAGCTTCATTCCCGGCTGACTTGCAACAGATACAGTGCACCAAAACGTGTTAGCACACCTAGTTTCCTCCGTGATAAGTTGTCATTGATGTTATGAACTACATGCGATGTTAGCACATCGCAGCAATTTAATTTTCTTAGTACCACATTGGTACTAAGGTCGGTGCTGAGGTTTATATTGCGCAAAGATACGTAATCTATTTACCAAAACGTTAGTAATGTGCTATTGAGAACAATGTTCATGTTTTGTGAGAAAGAAAGAAATGATTGGAAGAGATTCCAAAACTTAGGAACGTCTCGTTGGCTTTCTTATAATAAGACACACAAAGGATTCTAAATGCTCTTTTTCTTGACATGTGCCCAATAATAGATTTTTAGTCATATGATTTTCGTTTTTTGTGCATACTTTACGCATTAATGGCAAACAAAGATTTTGAACTAGCATAACATTTCCATATACACTAAATCAAGAAAATTAAACTATATCAACGTGCTTCTTCTATAACCTTTACATTTTCTTAAAAAGGTAACTATGCCAGTACCTTTTCCATCCACTGTTAATACAAATGCAAATATAATACAAAATTCTTTCCCATTTTGCTAAAAACTGATGATTCGTCTAGCTTTCTGATTTCAATAAATCCTTATCGTACACTCTTGTAGCGTTTACAAGAATTTCAAATTCAGCAATCCTGTTCAGTACTCCCACAGTTAACGTATCGTTTCCTCCATGTAGAGCATAACGAGAATAATATTATCGCATAACGAATCGATCCTAAATACGCAAAACAAGGCAGCCCGTATAATTTTCACGATTTAGACTGATATAAAATGAAGCGACCGAGTTGCGAACAGCAAGAACCCGAGCTCTAACAATCATCTTCAACCAGGTTTAAAATAACTTGTACCTCTTACATTGTTCGCCTTAAAGTTGTCCGTTTAAAATGAACTTGCGCAATTTCGTTGCTGTTGTAAAGCCAGTATATGCGCAGTTCTTGGATGCAAGCGTAAAACTGCGTGCTGAGACCGGGCTTGGACAAGCCACAAAAAACCAGGTTCCGTTTTATTCGCCAAACAATTACGAGGACAACAGTCCCCTTTTGCCCTTTTTGTCCCTCAGAAACGCGTTTTTCTCTTTCCTTACTTTCGCCGGGCATCTCGTTTCCGGTCGCGTTCGGCTGTTTCGTTCCGCATTTACAAGGGAACTTTTTGCCGCTTTTAATCACCGCGACGATAACCAACACTGACACGTACCGTCGGAAGGTATACGGTGCACAATGTATTTGTCGGAAGTTCGAAATATTGTTGGTGTCATCACGCGAAAAAGAAGAATAAAATCAATCTGTAAATCTGTCTTACGAAATTAAAATTTCAAGATCGAAAGATTAAGTAAGTTTGGGAAACCTCTCTAATCCTAGCACAATTGTCAATTTTCCTAATAATATGAACAAAATTCATGTCTATTGCTTCTATAATATTCGTTACAGAGAAACCAGTTTGAGGGATTTTTTGATCCAAGGAATGTGATTCCAGCATTACTTATTCATAAAAACAGAAGTTACCTTCATAAAAAGTGCTTCAACCTAAAGAAACCCCCTTGGAACTCAATAGTTAGAGAATTACTGTTAATAGATTTGCATTTGAGTTTATGCAAAATTATATTTATTTTTTTCCGATCTTTATTCATGTATGACGAAATAAAGGACGGTTTTATTAACAGGAAAAATATCAACCTCGATTAGTCTAATTTGACAATTAAAATAAAACAAGAATTATTTTCCTAATCTCAAAAACCCTCCAGATAAAAGTAAAATAACACTAGCATTACATTTTCATTGCTATACACTATGCACTATGCTTTACACTTTACAAGCTCGTGAATAGCATAGATTAAGATCCGCATTGCGGTAATCACATTGATTGCAATGAATGCCCTAAACCAAACCATACCTGTTAAATGGGCCAGAAAATGCCGTCCATTCATCAGTTTCGCGTCGAGATAAGCAAATTATGTGCGAAATCCAACAAGCTTCGCCGCTTTGATACCAGATAGAGCATATAAACAGAGGAAACGATTTCAAGCACCATATGAGTACATCGTGGCGTTCCCACGACGATATTAACATATGATGAAATATTGCGCACGTTGAAGACGGATGTTCATCGGTTAGAGTCAAATTAGGTGGAATGATCCTATCCTCTCGGAAACGTTGTTCTGTTTTTGAAGAATTAGAGTGTGATCGACGTTTTACGCAGTTCATTACATGTCCGATTGTTTTGCTTCAGTTGCACCGATGAACACATTCTTTTGTTAGCGAAACGCGAACAATCACTTCAAGAGAACGCATGTCACCCCTGCATGCACATAGCAGCCAAGCACCTTATATTTTGTTGATCGCATTTTCGTCGCGTCGCACAGTGTTCGACATGTAGCATGTAGTGCAAAAATCAAAAATTCGAAGTGTGAGATCTAAAAAGTTTTTAAAACCACTCAGAATTTTTGCGAAATATATCACACAATTTGTTGTTGAAATTTCGATTTGAAGTTTAATGCAATAAATCAAAGCTGTTCAAACAGGCCTCGTGACCGGCAAGGGAGTGGCGGAGTGGGGACGTGAGAAAAGAAAGAGCGAAATGTGTTTACGTTTTCATGTCATCCTTCCTCTCTCACTCGCACGCATTACCGTTATATGCCAATTGTCCGGGGCCTAGAGTCCACCAACAGATGGGTGTCCAGACATAGAGTCCACCTGGGCTGAAAATCGCTGCCTGTACGGGCAAGCTGTTGAACAGCTCTGTAATAAATCAATGTATTTCTTCAATAATGTGCCATTGGCAGAATATTAGTTACTTCAAAGCGAGTAAACAATTTTATGGAAATTATTGTAATTGTTCTTGTTGAATATTTATCATCTTTAGCGAGACTTTTAAACAAAGTGCAAAAAGTACCACCCTGATTTTCTGTATACTACTTCCGGACTTTACTTCAAAATCAGTTTTATTTGCTCGAATTTTTTCAAAATGAAAATATTAACCGACATTGGCATGAAGACGCACAGTGTTTGACCCTACAGAGAAATTCAAGGGAAATGCAGAATTTTTTATACATTTTTTATGCAATTGGTTATCATATAATTGAAGAGTAACTTTAGTTTGAATATGATCATCTCGTTTTTTCACGCATTAAGAAACTCTTTATTCAATAAAAAAATTAAGCTTATTTAATTCTTCTTGTGTAAAACTGTATTCTTTTCATTAACAAATTCCAGTATAGGACCGAACACTGTGCGTCGCTTCGATTTTTTGTCCAGGCTCCGAGCGAGTAAGTTCGCGCGAGATTCCAGCTGATGGACATGGCGCGAACGGTTTCCCGTCAGCATTTCCATGAAGTTCCATGCATGGGAAATCTGTCCTTTAAGCGCGGTCGTAAAATCACACGGTTGCTGTGCGAATACAGTGATAAATACACTATCAGACAAGCGGTTGATAGAACGGAGTTGTCCTCTTTCCGTCATGCTTTGTATGTAGCTCCCTTAAACGAGTAGCAGATGCGCTGATTTTATGCGTCACTGCTCTCTTGACTGATAAGAATAGATGAGAGACGCAAATGGCGCCTAAAATCGCTGTTTACCAGGTTGATTTCTTATTTCTTAACGATGGAACGGAATGCGAATAATTCACCGTAATTCATTCATAGTATTCCGACTTGAAACGATATTCATTGTAGAGAATTTGATTATGATTATGCCACAGCCAACTAGGTTTGTAGATGGCTATTTACTGGATTCAATCTATTATTGTCGTAAATAGAAAATGTATCCATGAGAGGTTTAATCATTGGAACTAGGCATGGGAAAATATTTAAAGTAGGATGAAACCCGTAATATCATAAAGCATACTTTTTCGATTCCACTTTTCATAAATTAGCTGATAACAATTTATATTTGCATAAAAATCTGATTTTCAGTTTACGATTAGAAGCAAAACGTAAGTACTACTTTTCTCGATCAGTAGTAAACTACACTACTTTTTCTAACGGGTTGCTACGTTTTCTAACGAGAAGTTACTTATTAACTTCGAAATCGAAAGGTGCCGCTTTCCATAGTTACAAAATCTAAAGTGCTAATCTTCGTACAACAAATGAATCGTGCTATTTTCCTCAAGATAAACTCTAGTTTCATCAATGGATATACAAATATTTATAGAAATATTAAAACCTGTGATTGGACATATATGTAGAACGAGAATGACTCATAGTGAAACAAATTGTCCACGGTCGGATAAGTAGATCGTGAATGATACCCACAGATACAAGTAGTATAAAATTGATCTACAGTCAGGCAGTGGAATATGGTTAATCAATGGTCAGACAAACGAAGAGATGAAGTCTCATGATCAGGCATGTGACATATGAAGGTCACCTTAAAAATTGGGAGGCTACATCTAGACAAGATTTATTATAAATTGTTTATTATAATCGTATTATAATAATTTATTATAAACGGTTATACACACTTTTTTCCTCGAAACGGAATTAATTCTATTTTAACCTATTATTTCATAGTTTCCCAACTCTTTTTCTGGTTCACTACTCCTTTTTCAAAGGACCACAAAAAGTTCAAGTGCAGCTTTTCGAGTAATTTTTTAATCCGATTTAATTGATTAAACCGAAACGCTCTATACAATATATATTTGATGATATATATTTCGTTTTATGAAATTAACTTATAAGTAAGTACCTTGCAGAAATCCTCGTTGATTGAACGATCATTGGCATTCGATTGCACAACCAGAAAGAACGGGGAAAATGCTTGAGTTCGACGTGAGCAAGGAACATTCAATTTCGAGTGCCTTCACGAGAAGGGAGAAAAGAATCAGTCGATTAGCTCGCTGATTACTTCTCCCTGAGCCATTTACTCCGAACGGTTCCTACCGTAACTCATCTAGCACGATAGCTACAGTTTCCTGTGATCATTGTAACTTGCTGCCCCAAGCATATAGCACACTCGGTAAGAACAATTGCTCGTTTCACTTTCGTAAAAGAAACCTTCCTTCTAGCCTAATGTCTTAAATCATTATCACGCCGCAAATTTTATGCACTCATAGCATTCGATCTTTTCAATATCAAAGAATTCGAGAAATTCTAATCTGACAGATATTTTGGAGTTTCATAAAATTTGTAATTCCATTTCATGAAGATTGGTTGGTAAAAGTTTGGTACTTATAAAAAGGTCTACAGAATAATAATATTACACTATAACTAGAGCACTAATATTATGCTAGACGATAATGCGCCCAATAGTGTTGAACTTAGGGACATATGCATATAAATACTTTCAGTAGTATTGAAAGGTTCATGGGATATAAATATATCTACTAGTGTCAATTGTTGGAACGAAAATGCACCTTGGCATGTTCAAAGGGATAATTAATTTGAGGAAAATGAAATTTTCAAATTTAGAGACGTATTTTTTTATTAATTCGTTTACAGCGTCAAATAGTACGTTTTCATAATATTCTTTCAAACTGTTCACACGTTTATAGCATTACAAAGAATATATATTAATTTATTTGAAAAAGTGTATATAGAATCCTTATCTGCCATAAGGATTGGCAATCGTTAAAGTTGAAAATTTCACTTTTCCCAAAATGAAATTAGAAACTGATGTTAATGGAGAAAGAGTTTGAAAGAAAAATTTATCGGTCGGTATAAATATAAAGAATGTTCGGTATTTATGCGATAAGGAACACCTGTACTACATACGGTGCTAGCCGGCTCTGGTGGCATGTATGTCCATGTGGGGTTGCGTTGCGACTCTGCGAATATCTCGCTCATGAGAATCCCCGGACTGTGCGTTAAAAGCTTAGACGAACGGATGCGCGAGCAATTACGATCCTTTCAGCTTTAAAGGCCGCGTAATAACGAAAATTTTCCTTGAAACTTCACCGTTACGAACCGCAAGTGACGAATTAACGTTCGTCTTGAAAAAGGCTATGAACAAAAAATTCTTGTGCTTGAAAGGTATTCCGTAACGTTGATAGCGATAAGCGTAAACACCAACTGCTAGGCAACGAGCAATTCTTTCTCCGATGTTGTTCTTTTCTTCGTTTACTCCTTGTTATAATCATTCCCTGTTATTACCATAAAAACATCAGCTGTTTAATGAGAAACATAAATAACTGGACATTAATAAACTGGACAACAATAAATATGATATAAGCGAAAGTTGAAAAAGCAAAATTAATTTTTGGAGAACAAACAAAATTTTACCAGGATGTTTAGAATGCAAAATAGATGAAATAACACTCACTGTGATAAATTTTAACGTCCTAGCTTTCATTTTCATTAATTCAATTACTTCAACTTTGTAGAAATTTGTAGGAATTGACTTTTGAGACCTTACTTGTGAACCGTTATTTAAACAAGCATCCATGCCAACAATGCAATATTAAATTTTGTTATTTTATATAGAAGACTCTACATCTACAATATTGAAATACAAATTAAAACTGTGTTACTATTTCTATAAAAGCGCAAGAAATTCTCAAAGTTAAAAACTGCATGTTCCATTTCAAAGTAGATTTCTTTCATCCAAATTCACACACGCGCGCGTATTCTCCTTAGCGAATTCTATCAGAAAAGTTTATTCAATGTTAAAATGAGACAACTTAGAAAAAATAAAGTCTTATCGGTTAGAATATTGACGCAAAGGGAGAGTTATTTCGTAATATGTTGCTTAGAGCGGCCCTTTCTAAGATCGATCCATCCCTAATGGCATGAAGTATGTCATTAGCAGTCCCGCGATGCATAAATGAGACCGCATATTGCATTCTTTGTTCGTGGAATGTTGCTTCGACAGGTGCCTCGAGCTCTTAAATCGTCTTCGGCCTCGATGCTCCACCTAAATACGTGGTTTCGATTGATCGTCGCAGCTCTTTATGGGCTTCCGGCTCGGAGATGAAAAGCTGAAGCGACATTCACACGGAAGATGAGTGCTTTATGAGTACCATGATGACTGTTAAGTGTCTCAAGAATGTTCTCCGAACTTCTCCCGTACTTCTCACCGGCATTAAACATAGTAAATAACGCACAATAGTAAAAAGATAAATTGCTGTACAGTATTTCTGATTTTACACAAATTCTATGTTCAAAAGACCAAAGAATATAATAGACATATTTTTTTCCTTACGACTTACTTAGTCCCAACTTAGTACTTTTCATATCACACATTATATACATATATATATATATATACCCGGACCCGGGACAATGAATGATTTAACAGCGTTCGGTAGTCCAGTGGTCTCCTTTACTATTTGTTAACGATACGATTCCGTTCGTTTTTGTGCTGTTACGCTGGACAATGTTCTAGG